AGTGATCATGTGACTAATGTTTTCTGCCACCTTCCCTAGAATGTCAGTGCGAAAGCTGCCAGATAAGGTTGCAAGCTGCTGTCTCCTGCCTAGAGGACTCCCTCTCATCTTTGGGGTTGGCTGAAAGAGCTGCTTTCCAAGGAGAGCTTAAGTCCTTGGAGGGCATTGAAATGGTGTGTGTGTGTGTGTGTGTGTGTATGTTCCTGCACCCCACTGAAGGAATTTGCTTCCATGCATGGAAGGGAGCTGAACTCCTTCAATGGAGTCCAGAAATGGGGTCCGAAATCCTTCAGCTTTGTTCTTGAATCCCAATGAAGGAGTTCCTTACCATGCACAGAGGGAAGCTGAGTTCCTTCAGCGTGCAGCTCTTTCAGTCAACCTCTAGAGCCGTGATGGCGAACCTATGGCACATGTGCCAGAGGTGGCACGCAGAGCCTTCTCTGCTGGAACGCGCGCTGTCACCCCAGGCCAGATTTCCGTAGTGTTTCTTTTGTGAGCTTCTGTTTCCCTGCAAATGATGAAACAGAAGCTCACACAAGAAAAAGATCTCACCTCTTGCTGCGCTGGCGGTGTTGGGATGCCCCGCCTCCCACCAGCCAGCTGGTCTTCGGGTCTCTGCTGTGCATTTGTGCATGTCCTGTGCATGCACACATGTGTTGCGCATGTCCACACATGCAAGCATTTGCATGCGCGAACCTTTCAGTGTGGGCATGCACACGCGCAGTTTGGGCACTCAGTGTCTAAAAGGTTCACCATCACTGCTCTAGACAAAAGAGTTAGATGAAATCCAAGCAGAGTCAGCATGGTAAGGGAGACTCTGGGAGATTCGGCACAAGAGTGTCTCTTTGCTCGTGGGTTGAAAATCCTGCTTGGATTTTGGCAGGGAGGATTTTCATCTCCTGAGCTGAACCTTACAGGATCTCCTGTATCCCCGAGGAACCCCATGGTTCTTATTCCAGCTGCTTAACAATCCGTACAATTGCTTAGCAACCACAACCAAGAGTGCCAGGATTGTGGTTGCTGAGCGAAGCAGTTAATGTGTCAACTCGCTTAACTTCTACTTCACTCAATGATCCACATTCTGGTCCCAACTGTGACCATGAATCAAGCACTTCCTGCATTTGTAAATAAAAGATAAAGCAGAATACAGCCAAGACTTTAAAATGTTGCACAGAACTGGAAAAGCAATAGCGAAAAATGTCCAGCACTGTATTTGTATTGGTTCTGACATATTTAATTACAGGACTGACAGCAAGTTGCAAATTAAAATGATCTCTTTTCCAATGTGAAAGCATTGCATATTTCTTTCAGTGTCAATTCTAAATGTCTTATATGAGCAATTAAATTAAACAGCATTTGTCTTCTACTACGACCTGAAATGAGGATTTGGAACACAATAACACAATCTGATTGAGAGGAAGCTAACTAATGACGCTTAATTTCAGTGCAGATATAAACAAGTTTAATAGCTGATAAACAGGACAGAGTGTCTTGTACGCTAATTAAAGAACACAAAATAGAGGTAGGAATGGAGAGCCAGTTTTAACTCTGGATGAAAATAAACTATTTCTTCTCACTGGGACCTAAATGATCACATCAGGAAAGGTAAGCTTATGGATGATAACAAATGATAGATTGTCCTCATTTAATATCAATAATTGAGACTGGAATTTCCATTTAATAAAAACTAAGATAATTATCAATATTCAGGGATCACAGAGATCAAGAGTTTGTCACCAGCTGCAAGTGATAAACAATGGGAGATAACTATTATCTTCATACTATGTTTATAGATTAACTAGTGGGCACTGCTGAATAGACCATATTCTCTGTTTTCTCAATTCTTTCTTATGATTTAAAGATATATTCAAGTTTGGAACTAGGAAATCACAGATTTTCCTTGAAACTTTAGAAGAACTGAAGGGGGAAAAAACAGAAGGAATGCACATTCCACAACCCAACCCAATAATTCCATCATCGTGAAGAACTCCCCAGTATTAGGGATATGTTCGTTACCTCTGTTTGCAGGATGGCAGCTCTCTGTTCTTTTGCTGTGAGGGATTCCTTGAGTACATCAATATGTTGCTTACTATCAGAAAACTGGTTTGTGAGGGTTTCCAATTTTGTCTGTAAAGCCAGCAACTCTGTATCTTTCCGGGATAGTTCCTGCTTCACTTGACCAATCTATAGGAAGAACCAAGTATGAGAATGTGTGTTATCAAATGGCAAGAATGCATTCAAAAGCATTATGGAAATTGCTTCATTCCAGTTTAGCACCACATTTCCAGCAATTTCAAAGGTACGGCATCAAGCCAGCTCAAGGAATCTGAATAAAGGAATAATAAACCTAAAAAAAAGCATGCTTTTGTGTATGCTTAAAGAGTTTTTGAGGAAAAGAGACTAAAGCATTCTTAAAAGAAAACTCCTTGATAGGAAGATCATAAGACTATAAAGTTGCAGTAAACAGCTTCTCTTATAACCACTAGCCTCACAATTGTGAAAAGCCAAAATTGAAAAAGGCCCAAATACCAAGGAAATTAGTTGTAGCATAAGATTTTTTTCTTTAAGCATTCAAAAGTGAACAGCAGGAAAAGAAATCCTGGTTTTTAGTGAGCGGGAATTGTTCAGATGAAAACTATCACTAGAAGGTATTACATGTCTGCATTATTATTACCCTGTTTCCCTGAAAATAAACCTCCCCGGATAATAAGCCCAATCAGACTTTTGAGCACATGCGCTAAAATAATCCCTCCTCGAAAATATTGCAACACAGCAGGTGACCACGCTCATCGCCTCCTGCACCTCAAAAATAAGACTTTCCTGAAAATAAGGCCAAATGCTTATTTCGGCAGTCAAAAGAAAATAAGACCCTGTCTTATTTTCGGGGAAACATGGTACTTCACATCTTTTTTCACTTTAGTTTTATACTCTTCCTCAGACCTCAAGAGATGCAAGATAAAATATAAATGTAAACCAGAGCAACATACACGGGCAAACACAGTTTCAGTTCATTTTCAAGGTTATTTTCAAGGCTTAGAGATAATAAGCTACTAGTTGAAGCGTAGCTAAAGCCTTATAATATGCTGGCCATCTTTCAAAACCTTATGTGAAAATGGCAAAATCTTGCTAGATTTCATACAAGAACATTAAAATCTCATGAAATTTCATGCAGTAAAATGGAGCAACAAAGTCAACATCTGATGATGATTAACAATCTCAATTCATTCCATCATTTTGGGTAAAATCTTTTGAGGGCAAAATATGCTTTCATATCTGTGGGTATCATATTGCTGACCCCAGCCCATGGAAGGAATTTAAAAAATATACAGTAAGTCTTTTTATCCTTTATTATGCTTCCAGCTCTTTAAAAACATATTTAGTTCTACAGTAATAGTAACATCAAGATGCCAAAAAGAGTATTTCCTCTTCCTTTGTTATAAATACTATCTATACCTGACCTTAAAGACAGGTGTAACTTCAGTTTTGCCTTAAGACCTAACTTTTTAAGATAAAAAACACAATAGTTTCCTATTTCCTACACAACATGACAACTAGATAAAATTTATAGGAAGATACAAAGTTCAGAAACTTTCAAAATCAAAAAATCAAACTTCTCAAACACACAAATGTTGGTGTAGCGGTGAAGGTGCTGGCCCAGAAACCAGAAGACTGTGAGTTCCAGACCTGCCTGAGGCATGAAAATCAGCTGGGTGACTTTGGGCTAGTTGCTCTCTATTAGTCCAACACACCACAAAGTTGTTTTTTGTGGAAAATAGGAAGAGGAAGGCGTATTACCATATTTTTTGGAGTATAAGACGTACCTTCCCCCCCCCTCCAAAGAGGGTGAAAATCTGGGTGCGTCTTATACACTGAATACAGCATTTTTGGCCTCCCGAAAACCCACCCCTTCACCAAAATGGCTGTACAGAGGGTTTGGGAGGCCTGCAAAGTGCTCCTTGGAGCTAAGGAGGGCAAAATGAGCACAAAAAAAAGGGTCGTTTTTTGCTCGTTTTTGTCCCCCCATCCCCAGGAGCACTTTGCAGGCCTCCCAAACCCTCTGCATGTCCTATTTTTCACAAAAAATGAGGCATGCAGAGGGTTTGGGAGGCCTGCAGAGTGCAAAAACTTCTTTTTTAATTAGCCTATTCAAAATCATGGTGCGTCTTATATTCCAGTGCGTCTTATAGTCTGAAAAATATGGTATGTTTGCTGCATTGAGGTACTTATAAAATAATAAAGATGGGATTTAAAACAAAAAAAACTCTAAAAAACTTTTTTCCACCTGTAAAGGAGCCCAGAATGGATCCAACACCACAGATTAACTCGTACATTTTCAAATGGTAAAATCCCTTTTTTACATATATATCGGAATTGCATTTTACTAGAATTAGAACTTGAATTTGCTGCATACAATAAATCATAGAAACTATGGAAGACATCAAATGTGCCCATGCATGATATGTAAAAAGCATCATTCCAGGAAGTTCAAGCAACACAAGGTTCATATTTGTGCCCCTAACAGCGCATTAAAACTATGCAACCTTATTAAAACAAGATTACCTCTGCTAGCTCAAATTAGAACACGCAGGCTCTACTATTCGTTTCGAAAGCTTCATACATGCATCTCAAAGATACAAATCATGCTGTGACAATTTCCTTTCATAGTCTGTCTAAGCGCTAAGATTACAATGCATGCAACTGGAGTGATCTTTTAAGCTGAGCAACTAATATTGGGTGTTCAAAGGAGTAGATTATACATTGTAATATATCAACCAGGTGTGAATGAGGACAGATGCAGAACTGTTAGTTTTCTTGCTCTTTAGCATTGCAGAGGGTAAAGGAAGGAAAGGAAGCTACCCCAGAAAGCTAAGCAGAGCGGTGCCGTATAAAGAAACTTCAGTCTTACGGCAGAGACCTCTGTCTGGAAATCGGCCACTTTTTTTTTCAGTTCCTCCCCTTGAACCTCTTTGGTATTTAGCTCTTCCTTCAGTTGCTCTACCTGCCACGACATTGTTAATTCTTTTACATTTAGAGCGAAATATTTTCCTCTTAACCTGCTGCTACTTGAACGCAAAGCGTAGTAAACATATAAAACAGCTAGCAGACCCACCATGATTAAACACCAGTTTCTCAGAATAACTACTTTCCCTTAAACTCATATTGCAACAACTATCATCATTTTTAGATGACGTCATGTAAAACATGCCTATCAACCCTTGGTATTCTGGTTATCTGGTAATTTTTATCACCCTTTATCCCCTCTTTATAGACTACTGTGATGCGTATTATTACATGATGCTGCTGTTGAAAACTAACTGGAAACTGCAGTTGATCCCAAATAAGGAAACAAGATTGCTAAAGTGCTTTTCCATTTATATTACACTGTATTTGCTGCATTTGTACCCAGTCCATTTCTAGATTTAATGCAGAATCACCCATTAGAATGCTTTTGGGAAGACCTATTTTCTTTGGTGCTTTCATTAAGCGATGTGAGACAGATACCTTCCAGGGAGCACGTGATAGCACTTCAGCTCTAGAATTACTAAATTGTGCCCCTCCCGGGAGTCTTAGATAGATCTTTTTGGCATCAAGTAACCATATTATTCACCCATGTCTTGTAAACAATAATCTTGTAAAAAAAACTTTTTGGATTTTCTAGTTGGCTTCCTTTCATTATTTTCAGCTCAGTTTAATATGTTAATCAGAACCATATCAATTGATTGGAAGCTACATAAATAAGACAAGTAAATCTATGCTATGCATTTTGATCTGATTACTCTAATGCCCAAAGGTAATTAGCATATAAGCAACTATAATGCAGACTCCAATTTCATCATTTTTCAAAGAAAGCCCAGGGTGTTTCCTCCTTTTTCTCTGACATTAAGCAGACTTTAAAAACATTTATATTGATCAGCATGGGTAATGCATGGCCACTTGTAACCTTTTGAGATCTTTTACTCTTATGTGTCTGAAATTTCAAAGTCATCATTTTCTCCAAGACACTTTGTTATATCATGGACAGTTGTTTACTTTCATTTATGCAAATGTCCCTTGAGTATTTTACCAGAGCATGAACAATACACAGTTTTATTTAATTGTGTTGACGCAATTCAATTTTCCTAAATTGGTTTCTACATCTTAAATCAAATTTGGTTCACCAATCTAAAATTACAGTTACATAGATTTACAGCTTTGCTTAAGTATTTTCACTTAATTTGAAAGAACTCTAGTAGAGAAGATAGATCACCAATCCTTTATAATATTCTGTGATTTAATGAATGACTTTGGTTTTTTTGGAAATTGTAAGCTATTTTTTAACATAGACGGTTTAGTTATTACCTTGTTTTTCATAAATTTGGAATGGCTACGATACACCTCCATTTGTTTAATTTCTTCTTCACGTTCCTCTGTGCTGAGGGCACCATTTGATTTCAACATTTGGATTTCTTCTTCTAAATCTCGGAGTCCACGTTCCATAGAAGAAATTTTAGAATCCTTCAAATACATGGAACAATGGTTTAGTTTCCTCAAAAAATGCCAATATTTTGCTAACAACATTTGAGTTAAGGGACTATGTCTGAGAAACCTCTCCCTGTAGTATTATTGTGCTATACATAATTTTTAACTACAGCATGTAATCAAATAAGCATCTACGGTTTAACCCAAAGGTGTTTTTTCAAAAGGCAACTGGACTTTTTGGTTTTTTGAAGATGTTTTGATTCTCATCCATGAAGCTTCTTCAGTTCTGACTGAATGGTGGCAAATGGAAGGATTCAGAACTGAAGAAGCTTCTTGGATGAGAAGCAAAACATCTTCAAGGGAAAAACAAGAAAGTTCAATTACCTTTTGAAAAAAATACCTTTGGGACAACCTTGACCTGGATGACTGAAAATCTCCACAGACATCTACAACTTAAAAAGAAAACAGATATACAGTAATGGAAAGTGGCATTTTGAACCCAGAAATAACACAGGGAATACACTGAGAACTTGGAGGCAAATAAGAAAAAATCCTTCAACAGAAAAACATTTACATCTCAGCAACACGGTCAGAAGTATTTATCTGTACATTCAATGAAAATAGCTATGCTGACATACAAGACCTTTCAAAAGGAATGGAACATCATCTAGAAAAAAATGTACTATTTCTTAATTTTTTTTCTGTAATATTTTTCTTCCGTTTCAAATATAACAATTATTTCCTTGTTATTGAAACTATTTTATATTAAAGTTCTTCCTATGAAATGAACAATTATCTAGAATATATAACAAAATAGGAATACATTAAAAGAATTAATGATGCCAAGTATGACAATAGGTAAAATAGACCTATATCATTTCACATACATTATATAAACCAGATATAAATAGTTCTGCACATTTATACAATACTCTTAAAATTCTCCTGACAATAGCAGAGGTGCTAAAAAGGAATCAGTGCATTGTACAACATGTCAGAGTGAAAATTCAAAAAATAAAGAGAGAAAAACGATTCCATTTGATAGAAAAAATGGTTTCTTTTACCTTCATTTCTATAACAGTCTGTAAAGCTTTAGTTTTGGCAGAATCAGGAGCATTTTCAAAACGACGGTGCATCTCCTGTTTTAAGAAGAAGAAATATTAAGTAGGTACCTAAACACAAAAGCATCAAACATCTGGGATTCACAGAAAAAGTATTATAGGTAAACAATTCCACATTTTTCCCATGGTACAGCTACAGTTATTATTATTTTTTAAACAAACAAGAAACAGCTACAGTGAACTTCCATGCCAATAATTTTCCGCAAAAAAAGCATACTCAAAAAGTAATAGCTAAAGGAACTTTAAAAAATTTAAATACCTATTAGCAATGATCTTATCAAACTTTCGTCTTCCAGAAGGACAAAATACTTGGGGAAAAACAGGATTAATAAATAAGAGCAACAATCTGCTATGTATTCAACAAGCTGATAAAGCATCTGTGCCAGCAATACTCCTACATTCCCAGAGTAGCAACCACCTAGTTACTAATGACGACAGCTCTTTCCACAGTGATAACAAGGAACTGTTCATCAAAACAATTCAAGTGCAGCTGACGTAAGTGCTCTGTAGTTAAAGGTAAAGGTTCCCCTTGCACATAGGTGCTAGTCATTCCCGACTCTAGGGGGCGGCGCTCATTTGTTTCAAAGTCGAAGAGCCAGCACTGTCCAAAGATGTCTCTGTGGTCATGTGGCCGGTATGACTAAACGCTGAAGGTGCACAGAACGCTGTTACCTTCCCTCCTCATATTTTTCTACTTGCATTTTTACATGCTTTCGAACTGCTTGGTTGGCAGAAGCTGGGACAAGTAACGGGAGCTCACTCCATTACACGGCTCTAGGGATTTGAACCGCCAAACTGCTGAATTTTCTGATTGACAAGCTCAGCGTCTTAGCCACCACATCCCTGCTCTGTAGTTAAGAAGGAGCAAAATGAAAATGCCTGGACTAAAACACTAGAAACTGTTTTGCACTAGACCACAATTATTCTTGGGTTAGAATAATGACAAACAAATCATGCACTCTTTTTCTTCCCATTTTTATAGTAATTTTCATAATGAAACATCCAGAAATATTAAATCACATTAAATATTAGCATAAGGTATTAAATATATGTGTAGTGTAAGCATTAAGACTAAAAGAAAAAAAACTAGAGAAGAGTAAAAAGTGCCAAGGGGGAGAAAAGAAAAAGAAAAGATCTAATAAAAGACAGAAAAGAAATATATAAAGAAGTCGCCTCCAAAATTAATTACAAGTAGAAACAACTTTAATGACTCTTCACCACCTCTAAGGTTACAAACATTTATCTCATCATCTCTTACCTCTGAACAAATCCATAAAACATTATCTTTCAATCCTGGTGTTAGTTGAAAATCTATTCAGGAGCCAGGAGTAACATGTCTTATTTTATTCTTGATCAAATAAACCAACTTTATATTCCTTCATTGTACTTTTGGACTCTTTAGTTCATTTAAATATTGTTGCACACTTTCATTTCTTCTTTGTCCTATCACAAAGAATTCTTCAAAGCTTTAAGAAGCCTATTGGAGCCAAGGTGGCACAGTGGTTAGGGTGCAGTACTGCAGGCCACTTCAGCTGACTGTTATCTGCAGTTCAGCGGTTCAAATCTCACCGGCTCAAGGTTGACCCATCCTTCCGAGGTGGGTGAAATGAGGACCCAGACTGTGGGGGCGATATGCTGACTCTGTAAACCGCTTAGAGAGGGCTGAAAGCCCTATGAAGTGGTATATAAGTCTAACTGCTATTGCTATTGCTATTTTGTAATTTTCAGTAGAAAATTATTCAAGTCACTTTCTTGGTTTGTAATGTACCTTTTCTAAAACATTCTCTTAGACTGTAAGTTGTAAATCCACTTTCAATATCATCTCTATTTTGTCAGATATGTTTTTTCTACATCTAACATTTCTTCAATAACATATTTTGGATACAGTCTGTTCAGAGAAGCAGACCCCACTACTGACATTGTTGATATTGAGTTATTTTCTGATTCCATTCTTCAAAAGTCTCCTTCAATATTTTTATTGTTAGACTGTTCAGTACCCTCTTACATACCTGTATACCTCCCATAGAGCTGTCAGATTTCCTTACATAATTTGACTTTAATTTGCTGTAAATATGATTTTAATCTACAAAAGAAATTTGGAAAGCAAGTTTTATCTATAAGAAAGCCTCTGAGCGTTATATGATGTCTGATTTTGTTTATATGAATATGTTCTGTCCAAAATAACTCAGCTGTTTTGCCTTAAATTTATAAATTTAATCACAAAGTTATATGAAAATCAATGAAGAATATAATGCTTACTCCACTTGAAACATGATGCAAAACAACAAATGGTTTCAAACATCCTTTATAGTAAAGTAATTGTTTCTATGGAAACTATAGAACTGTCATTCTTTATTGTTGCCCAGATTTCTGGTTTTCTAAATAGAACCAGACAATCATTTACAGCTTCCCAGTAAAATCAAATAAAAGAATAATGTACAGATTGTGGTGATTCAGGTAGGTTCTATTTATAAACACACAGAATAGATTTGCTGTTATATAAGGATAGGATAAATTCCTGATTGCTCCTAGTATTTTTCTTGCTCAAAAATGAACTCCTAAAGAACAAAAAAGTAAAGTTCATAAATATGTTGCTTATTTTGTTTTTAGACATGTTCTTAACTCATACCCTCTCCATGTCTGAATCCAGGTGGAAACATAAATGGATATTCACAACCCAAAATTTCAAATTTCAGCTTCCAATATTTTTTTTGATACTTTTGATATTATTCCCAGGTACATCCACAACTTCCTACACACAAAATTTATCAAATGATATGTGAGGTCAGAATAAATTATGAATAAGAAACCAATTTGCACTCAAGTAAGTTTAGATTCCAGACTAAGATGTGTGTTGCTTTAAACTGGTTAGAAAAATCTGCAAGTGCTTGCTCCTATCAAAAGATAAAAGAAGAAGAAAAAGAAATGGGCAAGATTAGATGGATTATGTGAATAACTCACTTCTCTGAGCAAGCTGCTCTCCTTTTCCTTTTGCTCTAGTAAGGTTTCCAGGTGATGAACGTGCATTTCGGCCTCTGCCAACCTTCGTGTGCGTTCATGATCTTCCTCGGTGGCTTTTGCAGACAATCCCTTGCTCTGCAGCATTTCCAGTAACTTTTTAATGGACTCATCACGAGCATTTAAGGTCTGTTTCTGAGTCTCGATGCGCAACTCCATTTCTTCTAGGGTTTTGCGCAACAAGAAGAGTTCCTTGGCTTGACGCTCATGCTCGGTATGAAGTCGTTGGAAGTTTTCTTCTGTTAGTTCTGTCAGAAACGGTTCACTGGATCTACTGCTGGTGTCTTGCTGGAAAAGTTGGTTCAGGTCCCTCTGGATCCTCAGCTCGTCCTGAAGAGCTTGAATCGTCATCTGCATATGCTGAGAAATAAACATCCGAATCAGTGATCACTTCAGTAAGAAGAAATACAATACAGATTTATGACAGAGAATATAAATATACAATGTTGTTTCCCAAAATATTTTAGACATCCCTTTCTTTAAAACAGATGGCCCATGGAGTTGGGATCCCCTGCCATAGAGTTGTATTTGCAGAAAAGCTGTATAGGTGGTGCATCTGCTTCTGAAAGTATCATACATATCTTGTATGAATGCAAACAATATTCTGGGGACATGGATATTTACTTGGAATTCTGTTTAAAAATTAAGAAATATTGATTGGGATAATCAGGATAAAGAGTCATACCACTTATAGGGAGTGAATTTGCATATTACTAGAAAGGCTGCAATTTTCATATCAAAGGCCATTATGAAGAAAATAGCTTACCTACCCTGTTTCCCTAAAAATAAGACCTCCCCAGATAGGAAGCCCAATTGGGCTTTTGAGCGCATGTGCTAAAATAAGCCCTCTCCTAAAATATTTAAACACATGCTCAGCCTGCCCCCACCATTTCCTGGGGGAGAAGGGGGGAACATGCCCCAAGCGCCCCACATACACCTGGCATCCCCGTGGAATGGCCTCAAGGGGGCCACTCCTGCAAATCCTAGCTACCACGCCCCTTCTCTTAGTGGCGGCTGCAAAAAAGCAGCAGGGACAGTGATCTTAGGGCTGGCAAGAATGTACCAGAAACACAGACAGAACTTCCAGCCCTCTCTGGATCAGGTGATCAATGGGCCATGGGCCAAGGTTAAGAGGCCTCCTGAACATCAAAAATAATAAGACCTTCCTGAAAATAAAGCTAAGTGCTTGTTTTTTTGGGGGGGGGGGAGTTCGGGGAAACATGGTAAAACAAATTGAGCATGAATAGGTTTTACTGTGTTTTGTGAATTCTTTGGAGAGCTTTTTGATATGGTTAGGTGTTTACTCAATAAAAAATATTGTATATTGTGTTCAATATAGAACAATTGACTAGAATATCTAAAAAAGGACAGATGTCTAATAAGGCTATGATACTATAGACTTTTACATTAAAAAGTTGATTTTAAAAGTACTCTATTGCTAAATAATCTCAAAGGCAGTAGAGTAAAAAAAAGATTAAAAATATTTACAGATAAGTAGCTTGTCAGTAGAACATTTCTCAGCTCGATTAGGTCAAGCAAAGAACATTTTGTTCATGTCTACATGAATAGAAAATAGTCAAAATAAACCCAAGGAACAGAAGTATGCCACATAGGAAAGAACAGAAACACCTTGGTATCAACATATTTTATTAGATTCCTAGAACAGAAAAAAAATTTTTTTTTGGTTTATGAAAGCAAATAGGAAAAGATATTCTAATGCTATCAAAAAATAAAAATACAATTTCACGTGCTGGAACTAACTGTTTGAATAGCTATGTTAGCAAGACCAGATATAATTTCTTCCAATGAAACCTACCATAAAACACACAATGACTTGATAAAACAGGAAATATTATTTTTTACTGATATTGACATTTGAGTCTTGTCTTTCTAATGAATAGCATCTTAGAAGTTTAAAATAAAAAATAATAGATTCAACGTGTGATAAAAAATAATTACAAAGTGTAATAAAATGGTAATAGCATTAACTGCTTAGTCTACAAAATTACTGAACAAAACAAACCAACTTTAGCAGGTGACAGCCTACCAGAAACAGGAATTTATAATATAGTACCATCCATAGACGAGTCGTACATGGTTTATGGACAATTAATGTGGTGAATGAAACAATTCTATCTCTTGTTTTTTAAAAACAAGTGTAAATCTGGTGACTTCTCCATTAGCTTCACTATCAAACACCTTTTATTTCAAAGACAGCTATAGCAATAAATATGCAATCACATATGCCAATATAGTGTATCAAGACTCACGAAACAGACTAAAGGCACAGCAAGAACTGCTTATTAGAAATGTACAATGACTAACATACTTACAAATTGCTGGAAGAATAAAAAGTCATCTCAAAAAAAGACAGACGTTGAGGAAACTGACAGAATTTGAAATATTTATAAAAAAAATCAAGCTCACTTGTCAGGGTGTATATATAAATTGATTGAACTACAAAACAGATGGGATAAATTAAAACTGTATGATAAAGTAGATGCAAATCTTCAAAAGAAATACAACTAGTCTTTGACTTATGACTGTTCACTCAGCGACCGTTTGAAATTAGGAGGGAGCTGAACAAAGAGGTTTAGGAGGGGCCTGTTGAAAATTACAGCCGCTGCAGGACCGCTCCAGTCATAGGAATAAAATTTACGCACTTGGCAATCCACCCACTTTATGACCGACTGAAGGGATGCTACAGTGCACCTGTGTATCTTTCCCCCATTCTAGCCTGCTGGGTTCTTCCAGGTTTGGGGCCTGCATCTCATCACGCTGGTTCCCCCATCCTCCTCCTCCCCGTGTCTTGGGGATGTACCTTTTCTGTAGATCTCCTTCAGAAAGCAGCTGAAAGCAGCCTTCTGACACCAAGGCTGTGTCACCATCTCAGACTTGAGCACCATTTTGGGACTGGCTGCAATGAATTGCGGCTGTTCCAACATGATGCCCACTTCTGGGATGACATCATACAGCTGCCATCATGCATAGGGAAGAGGCTGAGGGGTGAAATAGCTGGCTCTCCTTTCTGAACGTGATCTACGGATAAGTAGAATTCCAGAAAAAAATATAAATGGATATCAGCAGAATTTATTAAAACATATTCTGATGGCAGCAAGAACAAATTTGGCACAACACTGGAAAAAAGAAACTTTGCTGATGATTTCAAATTGGAGGACCAAAATTGGGGAACATGCAGCAATGGCTTCATTGACGATGTATATCCGTAACAGAAGTTTAGCCAGCAAAAAAAGTTCCCAACTATATTATATCAGCAGAGAAAATTTAGACATTTGGAATATTAATTCAAATATATGTAGCAATAATCTTTAATGTTTAACATAAATGTTTAATGCTTAACATCTCTCTCTCTCTCTCTCTCTCTCTCTCCCTCCCTCCCTCCCTCCCTCTCTGTTATTTCTCTAGAGAAATAAACAAAAAGAAGGGAAATGTGCTACTGGAAAGCTTCCGTATGTTTTTATTTATGTATTATTAATACTTATAATTTATAATTGTTATTCAACTTCTTCTATCTAATGTGAGATTTTTTTCCTTTGCATTTCCTTATTGTAGTAGTAATAATAATGTTAATATTAATAATATCATTTTGAAAAACCAATGGTTCTCTCTCTTACTTTTCTTCAACTAGACCTACTCAATTGGGAGACAGAGACACTGAAATGTATGTAAGTATAGAAAGTATTTGTACGATATCATTTACTTTACTCAAAATTCCCTGAAATCTGCCCGCATGATCCTTAAATTTGCATACTTTAAGATTTCTATGCAGGAGGTTCCCCCTACTTTGAAGCAAACCAAACTTTTTTTTAAAGTGTTCTTTGGTGAAGTGACTCGTGCAAATGTATCGGGGATTTGCATTTTTTCATATTAACATATTTCTTTCCATGCAATGATTCACTATAGCTACTAAAGTAGTTCAGTGTGATTTAAAAAAAATAGCTTTTTGTATTGTTGAATGACTAAAATACTTTCCTCCTCAGCTGATTCTCTAAAATTCTTTGCTCTCTAAGCATGACTTTAAAAGCAAAGCTCTGCTGGCTCCATCTATCTTTAACCGCATTCAAGCTTTCCAACACACTCAGATTCATATCCAATATTGATCAAGACTGGAGACAGAGATATTTGGTAGGTGGGCGGGTATAAATACTCTCTTAACTTGGGATTTTCATCTTTTCTCTAACCGCAATGAAATAAAACATGTGCACGAATGTACTCACAACTTGCTCTGTGGTTTTATACAAACATATGTTTCCAAAGGAAAGAAATCTCTGTGTTCTCCCCTATCCGCTCCAGAAAGTATGAGCTACAACAAGACAGAAACGGACCACAATGCAACAACAGTCAAAGAAAGCCGAAATAATCTCTTGAAGGGATTGATCTCAATGCAGACACACGCAGAAAAATTTCTCTGTTCCCAATATCACATTACTTTCCAAAAGTCATAAATCTCAGCAAGGGTTTTAGATCCTTGTTTATTTCTAATTTAGATTTCTATGGACACCCAAGTCAACAGTGACCCTGGACAACACAAATTAAAAATAAAACCATAGTCGACAGGACCAACAAAAGAAACAAAAGACATATCAAGAAAAATAGACACACACACCACTTCAGTCTAAATGGGCACTTACTCCAACCTCTTTTGGGGCTCAGAGAAAAACCTGGCCTTCAAGACCCATTCGAAGGATGACAGGATCAGGGCTGTTTGAAATGCCAGCAGAATGCTGTCGCAGAGGGCAGAGACCACAACACAGGAGGTTGACTTCCTATGTCCCAAGAGAAAGCACTATCAAGCCAGGAAAGGATACAACCGATGCACTAGATCAGGGGTGTCAAACTCAATTTCATTAAGGGCCGCATCAGGGTTGTGTTTGACCTCAGCGGGGTCGGGGGGCATGGCCTCTGCCAGCGAAAATGGAGTTCGGGGAAGCTGTGCGTGGCCCCCTAGGACCCTGATTTTGGCCGGCATGGCTTCCTGCAACCCTCTGCCAGCGAAAACCAGGCCCCTCAGCTCTGTCTTCACTGGCAGAGGACTGCAGGAGGTTGTCCTGGCCAAAAACAGGGCCTGGGAGGACTGTCTGTGGTCCTCTCGAGCTCCGTTTCCACTGGTAGAAGCACTGCGGGCCTGTTCTTCATTTTTTTCAGGGGCGCCCCACAAGCCAGATCTAAAAACCTTGAGTTTGACACCTCTGTACTACATGAATCTGGGCAAAGATCTTCCTCAACACACCTGCAACTTGCTCTTTGAGGAGGATCTGTGTGTCTGAAAACACCCCCCCCCCAAAATACACATCCAGTTTTGTCTGGGAAACTGCAACTTTGGAACCAAAGATGGAAAG